GATGGGGCCTCCTTGCAAAGCACCACTTTGCGGTGCTTCATCTTCTTCAAAAGTTCCAAGTGCTGAGTGCAGCGGATGGCGCACCAGTAAAAACGTTGCAGCAGTATTTGCATTCATGTTGCTGCACCTTGCCCTTCTTGATGAGGCGGAAGTGCTTGAACACATTGTGCTCGACATCAGGAAGGTAAACCTTAGTCGCACGATCAGGACTGGCCGTACCAGTATCAGGAGTGGGAGTGGGCTCATTTGGTGGGTTGAAAACTGCAGAAGTCATGAGCAATAGAACGAAAAGGTGAACTCTGAAGGAAAACAAGAAGGTGAAGGTGATGAGAAAGAACTTCACCTGTTTGTTTAAGTACCGTGGGATCGGTTGGAGGGGACAACTTGGATTGGAGGGAGTTTGTATATATATAAATCAGCACCCGCGTACAGTGGAGGGGACGGACAGTGTTTTGACAATGCCACTATCTTTTAGGGCACTGACGGTGGCCCCAAAGGTCCCTGAAAGATGGAGATGCAGAATACTGAAAGTCCCTGTTATTACGAACTGAGGGATACATAGAGGTGGTGCTTGGCAAGGGAGAAGCTAGCTGAGTAAGAAAACTAGAGTATGACTCAGCTGGGGAGGTATGGGCAGAGGTGGCGGCAGAGCCGAGGTCAAGAGGTTGCTGCTGCCAGGCGCACCTGCTGCTCCTGCTGCGGCGGCAGCGACGGCGGTTGCAGCTGGGCCCCCTCCACCTCCCCAAGGCGGCTGCTGTGGCTGCTGGTGCGGCTGCGGCTGCAGGGGCAGCTGCTGCAAGGGCTGCTGCTGGTGCTGAGACTGAAGAGGAATGTTGAGGAGTTGGAGTGGTGAGGTTAAGGTGGAAGAGTCAATAGAGAGGGAGATGCTGAAAACAGTAGGATGACTTTGAAGAGCAGACCAGTGGGGGGTACCATTGTTACTACGGTCAAACCAAGCGTCGTCCAAGACGCCGAAGCAGGTGGTTACGTGGTGGTTGTTTGACCACAGGGTTCCCCAGAGCGAGGGCCATGGCGGCGAACGTAGGGGCAGGGAGGGAGTTGACCAGGTCCGCTACTACCACATCTACGTCCTCCTCCAGGGCCCGCCGTGCTAGAGGGAGTTCGTTCACCAGAATTGCCACCCCGTCCATTACCACTCCCGCCACCACGCCCACCACCACGTGACTGGGTAGCGTTAAGTTCTGGTGCAGTTGCTTGAGTCGTGTTGAGAGAAGGTGGGTTGGCATGAAGGAGGCGGGTTTCAGTGTCAATGTTTCATTGAACGACCGCTGCGATATCCTCAAACGGCTTTTTTTTCTGCGAAAGGCAATGACATGCATGTCGTAGGATGGGTTGAGGCCGCAGAGAAGGCGATTGATCTGAGTGCACTGGGGCAGTTCGGACTGGCGAGCCTTGAGTCGCTTGGCGAGAGAGGTCATGCGGCCGGTGTAGGCGGCGGCACCAGTGCAGGTTGCGAGCGTTGTCTTCCAGTAATTGTCAAGGTGCAGCCTGACGGAGTTGACGTCACGGGGCCCAAACATGGTGTGGTGGGAGGCCCAAAGGCAGGTGCGTGGAGCTCTTGTTCCTGAAAGTCTCGCATGAGAGCAGGGGGGAGACCACTAAGGATAGTATTAGAGGCAGAGAGGTTAGATTCATTCCAAGTAGCAGCCTTAGGGGTATATTCAGCAAGCGCGGTGGTGTAGCGGTCAGCCATAATGCGGTGATTCAATATGGCAGTTTGGCGCATGTCGTATTGCTCGCGAGCCGCACGATGATCCGCTCGCGATCGTAGGCCGTTTCGTCAGCGGCTCGGCGAATAGGATCCGTGGAGACAGCAGGCAGATCCAGGTTCAGGTCCAGGGTCAGGCGGGAGAGTAGGAGCCGGTCCAGGGGAAATAGGGGGCGTTGGCGGGAGAGCGGCAGCATGGTGCAGGACGTGGATGTGGAATAGGGTCGAGGAGGGTGTAGGGATTGTTGGGGATGTGGATGATGCTGAGGAGGTGGCGTGCATTTCCTTTTTTGGAGTACCAGTTGATAGCGCTCGAGCCAATGCAGCGACGGCGAAGTTCCTTGCAGCGAGGAGGAGCAGTGGCGGCGGCGAAATGCCCTGCAGTGAATGAGAGCAGTGGCGGCGGCGACGCAATGCGCCGCCAGTTGAAACGAAATTTCCCCGGAGGAACGAAGGCAGCGGCAACGAATTGCCCTGCGAAGAGAGGAGGAGCGACGGAGGTGGCGAAATGTTCCGTAAGGCGGCGAGAAAAGCGGCGGCGAAATTCCTGCGTGTGAGAAAAAGCAGTGGCGGCAGCAATATGCCCCGCAACGGCGCGAGAGCAGCGACGACGGATAGGTCGCAGTGACGCCGGCAGCTAAGGACTCTCATGCGGCGGTAGGGACGAAGGCGAGCTTTTTGCCTCATGAAAGTCAGAGTGGGAGCTGGGGGGGGGGGGGGGGGGGGGGATGGTGATTGGCTGTACGGAAGATTGAATATCAAGCTAGTGAAACCCATCCCACGCAGCAAGTTGCATGGGCAGGACAGAAGGGTCCTGAGGAGCGGTGAGGGAAAAATGAACCTAACTAACATAGAGAAAGAAGTCGAGAGGGGCGTTTGCCAGTTGGCTCTGAATACCATGAAAGAATCTTCAGTGTTGATATGATTAGAAAGTGCGATAGGAGATGAGAAGTTGGGAACTAGGGATGAGCAAGGGGACGAACACGTTCGAGGCGAACCGAACAGGTTTATTTTTTTGGCTTAAATGGCTCGCCGAACAGTGTTCGAGGTTCGCCCGAACACGTTCGTGTTCGGGCCGCTGCTGCAATTTGCCCCGCAACGAACACGAACGTGTTCGAGGTTCGCCCGAACACGCCTTCATAGGCGAACGGCGAACACTTGTGTCGGCGGAAATCGTTCGCCGAACCGAACAGTGTTCGGTTCGGCTGTTCGACAGAGGACGAACTCGAACCTGTTCGAGTTCGGCCTCTGCTCATCCCTAGTTGGGAACTAGGTGGGGTACCTTGTGCATTCTTGGTGGACCAATCAGGTTGGGTCGCTAATAATTGCTGGGGTAACCAACAATTGTTGGAGGGGGGGCATTCTTGGCTTACCCCCGTCAATTGCGGTCGAGTTGGGTTTGGGGGCGCCCCACCCGAATTGGTTGGGTCGCCTTAACGTAGGGATGAGCAAAAAAACGAACACCTGTTCGGTTTGCCTCGAACGTGTTCGAGGCGAACCGAACAAGTTTTTTTTTTTTTTTTTTTTGGCTTAAAGTGTTCGCCGAACAGTGTTCGAGGTTTGCCTGAACACGATGCTGCTGCAATTTGCCCCTAGACGAACACGAACATGTTTGAGGTTCGCCCGAACATGCCTTCACGGGCGAACGGCGAACACATGTTTTTGCTTAAGGTGTTCACCGAACCGAACAGTGTTCGGTTCGCCGAACAGGGGTGTTCGTGCATGGGCGAACGCGAACACGTTCGTGTTCGCCCCTTGCTCATCTTAACTCAAAGTGGACAACCACTCTAGGGTGTAACACTTCCACAAATATAAGCATACAATATGCTACATTCTAACACTTCCATGCAGAATGCTGAGCAGTAACTCCTTCTCAGGGCCTCTTCCAGTCTTCCTCGCGTCATTCACCAACCTGACCTTGCTGTGAGCCCTCACCTCACCACCATGTCGCAA